TATATATAAATTAATAATAATAAATATAATAAATATTCCTTTATTCTATATATATTCCTAAGATAGAAATTATAAAAATCCTTATTTTATTTGTTCAATTCTTCTTTTAAAACCTACTAAACCAATTATCCGTATATTTTGAAATTATTAAACTCCCGATTCCAAACTAATAGTATTTTTTAAAACTTTTATCACAAATTAATAATTTAGAAATAATTTATATATTTATTTATGTTATCCATAAGAAAAAATAGAGATAAACGAGAAAATTTTGAAATAAATTTTGAATAAAAAATAATTATTATTTTGACACAAAAGAAATATTCATATTTACTTCTAATCACTCTATACCATAAGGAATTTGAGTTCCCTGCCAGTTTCGCCCACCACTTGCCCATTAGAGTTGCACTAAAATGCCTAAGGTCCTATACATCTAGCCCTCCTTCATCCTTTCTTCTGCATACCGACTCCCATTTAACCCAATTTATTTTTTTAGGCTCTTCCCAACCCCCCCATAGAAATTGCCTTCTAATTTTATCCAAGATAGACAGCGTACCTTTTGGAAGAAGATGAGTTGAGGACATTGGAAGCTGCAACAGAAGATGAGCTAAGAAGAATCCTTTCTAGAGTGCAACTCATACAAGGGAAAAAGGATAAATGGGAATGGAGCTTTGACACAAAAAATGGCTACTCTACTAATGTAGCCTATCAGCTTCTAACATCACCGCACAATGGACTTCAATTGGAAATTTACAAAAAAGTTTGGAATACAATGGTCCTGAGCAAGGTTAGTGCATTAGTTTGGCAATTGATTCAAAATAAATTGCCAACAAAAATCGAGTTATTTAAGAGAGGGGTATTGAGGAGCTATAATGAGATTACATGTGACTTATGTGGAGAAGGGGAAGAAATTGACATTTGGAACACAGATAATGAAGATAGCACAGAGTTTATGAGAGTAATTCGACCCCCCATAGATAGTTGCTGGCCTTTCCACCTTGACAGCTTCTTGTGAAAAGACTCTATCAATTCCTTCCAGTCAATTCTACTTCGAGGGTTCCCTCCCACTCGAATACCCAAATATTTGAATGGTATTCCATCCTTTTTATAGTTTAGCAAATATGCCATCCTTGCTAATTACTCCTCCTCCACATTGACTCCCATTAATTGACTCTTTGCATAGTTGATCTTCAATCCAGATGAAAGCTCAAAACTTCTCATGATACATTTTACCGCCCATATATTTTCCTCCGTTGCTAATCCCATTAACAAAGTGTCATCGGCAAATTGTAAATGGGATATATTTATCTCATTTCCTCCTATTTGAATTCCTTCCAGTAGGCCCTCTCTCACTGCCTCCATAATTAAACCATTCAGCCCTTCTGCCACAATCAAAAACAAGAATGGGGATAAAGGATCCCCCTGTCTCAATCCTTTTGACATTCTAAACTGCTTTGATGGGCTTCCATTTACCAGTATAGAGATAGACGTCAATTTCAAGCACCCTTGTATGAGTTGCACTCTAGAAAGGATTCTTCTTAGCTCATCTTCTGTTGTAGCTTACGGTAAGCATCCAAAATCAGAGTTTTTGTTTCTTATT